TGCATTGCAAAGGCTGGAAATCTGTGCTTTATAACCCTTCAAGGCCAGCATTTTTAGGCAGTAGTACAACAAATTTGAATGACACATTAGTTCAAGGAACAAGATGGAATTCTGGACTAGCTGAAGTTCTTTTCTCAAGATTTTGTCCCCTCATCTATGGCTTGAAATCAAGAATGCCTCTTCTTGAACGCATGTGTTATGCTTACCTTGCTTCTCAGCCTCTCTTTTGCTTCCCAGCTTGGTTTTTAGCTATCATTCCTCAGCTTTGTCTCCTAAATGGCATTCCCATTTACCCTAAGGTATGAGGATTGAACTTATATACACTGATAATGCAAAAATATTTTGAACGGTCGGTGAATTTTAACAAGCTGCAACAAGTAAAAGTATATGTGTCATGTATCTATTGGTTTTTAGCTATCATTCCTCAGTTGTCTCCTAAATGGCATTACCACCCTAAGGTATCAAGATTTAACTTATATACACTGATAGTGTAAAAATATTTTAAACGGTCGGTGAATTTTACGTGCTGCAGCAAGTAAAAGTATATATGTGATGTTATTAAATGACATTCCCATTTACCCTACGGTAAGAGAAAATATCAATTTTAAGGTTTAACTTACATCTTTGATAAAACTTACCTCCACCCGATTTTCATCAAAGTTCAAACCAACAGATATATGAGAAATTGATATGGTTTGGCCTGAAAATAGAGTAAGTAATTACCATTGGATTTAAGTGATATACACTAACGATTTTAAGATTTTCTTTTATGCTATCAGCGAATTCTAACCTGTGATAGCAGGTTAGGTACCATTTTTAGTGCCCGTTTGGATTGACTTATTTTAGGTGCTTTTAAGCTAAAATAGCTTTTAAGCCGTTTTGAAGTGTTTGGGTAAAATTAAAAAGTGCTTATAAGCACTTATTTTAAAGCCAAAATAACAAAAATAAGCCAAAAGCCATAAGTTAGAAATACTAACTTATGGCTTTTGGCTTTTAAGTCATAAGCCAAAATCCAATCCAAACAGGCCCTTATTACATTTTCAATAAGAGCTTATAATCAAGAGATTTACCTATAATTATCTATTAAGTGACCAGAATGTGTGAAGCTTTAATTAACTCATCAGTCTATAGAACTTAAATTCATTATTGTTATCTTTTATATGACTAGCATAAAATTCTTATTCCACTATCAATATATAGGACTTGAATCAAAACTTCCAGATAAACTTTGATGGTAACTATATTATATTTTCACAGGTCTCAAGTCCATGGTTCTTTGTATATTCTTTTCTTTTCTTGTCAACACTTTCGAAATACTTATGGGATGTTGTAAACACTGGAGGGACAATGAGAACATGGTGGAATGAATGGAGGGTATGGATGATAAAATCTATAACAGCTTATTTCTATGGAACTTTGGATGCAATCATGAAGTTATATGGCTTTAGAAAAGCAAGTTTTTTGCCCACAAATAAAGTTGTTGATGATGAACAATTGAAGAGGTACCAAATGGGAATTTATGATTTTCAAGCATCTAAAATGCTAATTGTCCCTTTGGTTACATTAGTCATATTGAATATGATTTCCTTCACTTGGGGAGTTATTGGAAAAATAATTCTAGAAGGGAGATTGAGTGATTTGTTTGGTCAAGTGTTCCTCTCATTTTTCATCTTGGTGGTGAATTATCCTATAATTGAAGGGATGATATTGAGGAAAGACAAAGGAAGCATTCCACTCTTTGTGACTCTATTGTCTATTTTGCTTTCTTTTTGTCTTTTGTTTGTTGGTTCTATTTTTGTAAGGTAAGATGATTACTTAGCTTAAGATAGAAAATAAGAATTATTGATCTCTATTTTCCACTTCTGATGTTGTCTAGTTTCGCACTTATGGGATTTCATTGGTTATGTTGTTTTTGTGGTATTGTCTAATCTCCCATATCAATTTTATAACTATTACTATCTCACTCTTCGATATTATTATTATTGATCGCCATTTTCCACTTATGGTGTTGTCTACTTTCCCACTTCTGCAATTATATAGGGTATGTTGTTGTTGGTTTATCTCTTTGAAGTAGTAATGCTTATTTTCACTAGATGTATATACTATAAGAGCATATACGAGGAGAGAAAAAAAGGATCATGTAGCTCATGCTAGATTAACCGTATTCTGAGTTGAAACAATCAACCTATTTGAAGTGACCCATTTGTATCGGAGAAGCCCATGTAAGAACAATGTCATGTTCAAGGTTTCTTTTCACCTCGATACAATATATATTTGTGCATCATTTCTAACTCTTTTACTAATAGACATTTATTACTACATCAGCAAAAGGGTTCTGCCTCTGGCTCCACCAATAAATTAATAGGATTCTAGTAGAATTTTGAAGAACTCATAATGTTCAAATTTCGGACTCGCCAATAACATTTTATAGTAGGAAGACACCACACATCATAGCTGCAAGAGCATATTATTTGTGGTAACAAAATAAACTACACCAAAACAATGTACCTATTTGTAGTGGATTAATCACATCAGGAGCATATATGAGGCGAGAAAAAAAGGCTCATGTAGCTCATGTTGGATTAATCGTATTCTAAGCCAAAACAATGAACCTATTTGAAGTGGCCATGTATGATAATGCTGCATTCATGATTTCTTTTCACCTTGATACATTATGAAATTGTGCAATATCTTCAGTTTCTAGTTCAATACACCTTATATTCGTTGAATTGATAACAATATTTTCTACTTATGTGAGGTGAATACGAATCGTGTTGGAACGATTTTTGCTAACAAATGATGTGTAAGGCCAGTGTAGAGATAGAGGGACAGGACGGGTTCAGGCTTATCCTGCAAAGACTTTTTAACCCGCATTACTCCGTCCGCATATCAATGTTTTCTGTTTTCAACTATTCTCGCATAAACCCGCCTCGTTAGCTAGCAACAACTTCTGTATTTTGTAGCTCTGATTAATTTGCTAAGCCAATAGCAAATCTTCTCATCTATTAATTGTTTGTTGAACTGATATGTTTATAATTTAACTCGGCTGATTATATTGGAAGAATTCTTACTAAAATTACACAGTATCTTTTTCCTTACGATAAAGATATACTAAGCATGATTAAGATTATTGTTTAGTTAAATAAATCTAGATCATTAATATGTAAATGGACTAGTATTCAACAACAGCATCCTGATAGACCTTATTCATACCTTGGAGAGGTAGAGTCGTAGAGAGGTTGTTTTCTCTCTGGATGTTGCCACTTCTTAAACACCAAAACTGCCGGCGATTTCTCCTTCTTCACCTCCTCCTTACTACCAGAAACTGAATTCATCGGCTGCTGTTAAATTGCTAGATATAGGCGATGAAATCAACGGCGATAGAAGAGGAATACCTACGTTCCAATCGGTTGCACAATTTATTTGTATTGACGCTGGAGCTCGCCGTTGCAACCTGCTCGGTCGCTGCTGGTCGCCTGAAAATGTGTACTGGCTTGCTTGATATCCGCCATAAAACGAAGTAAAACGTTCAAAATAAATCACTATTAGATTGTTTTCATCACCGGTCTATATTTCCTGAACATTATACAAACGGCACTTACAGAGTCATTGCCTCGTAGAATGACGGCGTCACAGGATGTTGCCACTTCGGAAACATCAAAACTGCCGGCAATTTTCTCATTCACCTACTCCTTACTGCCGGAAATTGAACTTATCGCTGCCGTTAAATTGCTAGATACAGCTATGAAATAAACAGTTATAGAAGAGGTATAGCCTCATACCAATCTATGCATAATTTATTTGTATCGACGCTGGAGCTCGCCCTTGCAACCGGCTTGGTCGCCGACGGTCACCAAAAAATGTACATATCCGCCATAAAATGAAGTAAAAAGTTCAAAATAAATCACTATTAGATTGTTTTCATCACCGATCTATATTTCCCGAACATTATACAAACGGCACTTACGGAGTCGTTGCCTCTTAGCAATGACGGCGTCACAGGATGTTGCCCCTTCGGAAACACCAAAACTTCAGGCGATTTCTCCTTCTTCACCTCCTCCTTACTACCGAAAATTGAATTTATCGCTGCCGTTAAATTGCTAGATTCAGGCGATGAAAATCAACGGCGATAAAAGAGGTATAGCTACATTTCAATCGGTTAAACAATTACTCAATTAGTATCAACACTGGATCTCGTCTTGTAACCGGCTTGGCTACTGGAGGAGATCGTCGATTGCTTTGGATTCGCCATGAGAGAAATGAAATTGAATATGGCGGAAGAAATTTGGGGGGAAGGTTATTTATAGGGGAAAATGTTTGATGGTGAAGATTTTCTATCAATGTTGAATTTTCTTTTCTTAAAAATAATCATAAATTTTTATTTTTCAACTCTTATAAATTTGACAAGGCATCTATATATGTATTAGAAAATCCATATTAAGGGAAAAAATTGTAACTGATTTTTTTAGAAAATTTGAGAATTTTTCTATCTATAAAGAATTTTCTCAAATAAACATACATATTTTGGATGAGCAATATTCAAAAAATTTACTCACGACTCACGAGTTTTACATATAAAATAAATTAGACAATATAAATTAATCAAATCACACTAACATATTTTTATAAAATATTTATTGGCTTTCATATATCACTTATTATTTAATTCTATAAGTCATCTCTCCAAAAAGCTACCTCAACTTATTTGCAAGCAATAATAGTTGTTATATCTAACTATTATATTCCATATTCAAAATTAATTGATTCAACCAATATGAATTATATTGTATGAATGCAAAAACAATTTTATCTACCCATGAAGCATTAGTTCTTTTTTTTTCCCTTCATTTTTTCACCAATATTACATCTAATTCAAATATGCAATAAGCATAGACAACAAGATCATATCTTGGTTTGTTACTTCAAAAATACTTTACAAAATTCAGGTGGAACAGTTGTAACTATACAAAAACAATTTTATCCACCCCATGGACATAAATTTCTTGTTTTTTTTCACTAATTTTACATCCAATTAAATATAAATATAATTGGACTTTTCCAAATATATTAAAATCAATTATCTGAAAAGCATCTTGAGCTCTTCAATTCTAGCAGACCTCACTTCTTCATCAGTCAAAGCTCCAGCTATCATCCTTTGCTTTCTTGCTTGGACTTGTTGCATTCTTTCTTCCACTGTGTCCTAAATATAACACCATTTTACCAAAAAGACAAATCAACAATATGTATAAACTAAACAAATAAAATTGTTAACAAGGGTACCTATTTGTCAGTGACGGAGCTAGAAATTCATATAAGAGGATTTACAAAAATATTACACCTAGAATTTAAACACAATGTCACAACCTAAAGCAATTTTTGAACCCTTTTATCACTGAACTAGAAGTCTTCCTACCATTCACCAATACATGTAAGTCTTCCATAGTAAGGCTTAGGGAGATAAGATTATCTTAGTCACTGACAGAATCAAGATTTTCACTAAAAAGTTCAAAATATGAAGTAAACACTTGAACATCGACGGGTTTGGATCCACCCCTTACTTTTCTTAAATCTATTAAGTGTTTGATCAAGAATATTAGTACAAGTGACAGCTTTGATAAGAGCAATCTTTACCTCAACAATGAACCTTCTAACACGAACTGTTTTCTTTTGACCAATACGATGAATTCTCATAATTGCTTGTTCTTCGACAGCAGGATTCCACCATGGATCCTGTAATGATTAGAAGTAAGAACATTAACACTGTAGAGAAAAACATTTGGGGGTGGGAGGAATGTATATAGAATTACCATGAGAAAGACATTAGAAGCTGCTGTTAAGTTCAAGCCAACACCTCCAGCTCTTAGTGACATTAACAAAATCTGAAACATAGTGATATTTTAAAAAAGTTAAAGCTTTGAAAGAGCTAAGCAAAACTTTCAAGAAGTTGAATAGTGTATTGGTATCCTATGTTGCTCAAACTATTGAGAAAATGACATTGGATGCCCGTCGAATCCTCCAAGAATGCACTACTTTTTGAGGATTCAACATGCATTTTTGGAGAGTCCGAGTGAGACATAGATGATAAGTACTACTTACTGTTTTTTCATTAGTCTCACTGAATTCTTTCAACACCCTTTCTCTTTGTTTCTGTGACAATTTCCCATCAAACCTCAAGTAGCCAATTTGCTTTCTTTTGAGTGGGATTTCCAAAAGATCAAGAAATGAAGTCCATTGGCTAAAAACAATGCTTTTTTCACCAGATTTTCTTATAGGTTCTAAGCAATCCATCAGCATTGAAACCTTAGAAGATACTTGCCAGTTCTTCTCAACATCAACTCGAAACCGATTTGCAGAAGGACATGTGAATAGCTCATGTTTCTTTATCATTTGCCTACAAATTGGGCAAAGTCCACTTGCTGGAGTTCTCCAGCTTGAAAGAAGGCATTCTCTGCACATTCTGTGGGCACATGGTGTTAGCACAGGGTCGTCTGCTGACTCGAGGCATATGGGACACTCCGTATTTTCGCCATTTCGAATTCCCTCAACAACTTCTTCTACATATGCTGGTGTAGGTGCTTTCTGTGTTGATGAATCAGGATTTGTTTCCAAGAACCTTCTTGCTAGTTTGTCTAAATCTGCAAATTCTTGATTATCACTTCGGCTGCACATTACAAGCAATATATATAGTGTTATATTTTAGAAGAAACTAACAAGCTATGTTGTAAGATTCTAGGTTGCTCAAACTCTTCAAAAATATTGTCACGTGTGTTGGATCATACTAAAGCTAGCACTTCTGAAAGATCCGACAAAAGTGCAGCAATATTTTTGGAGGGGAACATAGGTTAAATTATAGCAAGTTTACTGGATTGAGAATGATTTTAACCTCATCACAAGGAAAGGATGGTTGCAACACTGCCTCAGTCGAAGTAGTAATTCAAGAATATTAGCATAGTTGTGAAGAACTTTTCCTTGTGCCACAAACTGATCAAATTGAACCTGGTTTATTCACCAAAAACAAAAGTATAAGCATACATTCCATCAGCAACAATGATGATTATTTCGAGTAAAAAACACATTTTTTAACAAATTCAGTTTTTACATGGGAAGAACAAGATTTTCGTTCGTACTTTAGATCTCTTGAAGAGGGCATCATAGAAGTCACGTTCAGCTTCTGATTGTGTACACTGAATGACTTGAATGTCGGTTGGAGGGAGAACAAGAATTGCCCTGATTTCAGAAGAATACATGTCAGTGTTGAGAGAAAATCATGTTTGCAACAATTTATAAAAGAATAGGATAAAGAAGATTTTTTAAAAAAATAGAGCAAGCACCTTCCATCTTTGTCCTTGGTATCCTTTGTTCTCCTCAACATCAGCGGCCTCAAAATGGCCTTGATCAATTTTAGAGCTCTCTGATCACCATTTTCATAAGGTCTCTGTATTAACTTGTTCCACCTAAATTAGGAGCAAACAGGAAAACAGAACTACCTCAGTCGTGTTATGCAAACCTTTTAACAAATAGAAAAGCAGGCAGAGTAGTTGACATTTGAAAACTTTCTAATTCCATCAACATATATATAACAAAATGAATAGAATCATTTAACCTAAACTTACCATGCCCAGTTGCACCATGGCTCGACATGCAAGAAACATAAAAGGCTGTAAAGATCTTCCAAATTATTCTGCAGCAATTAGTAATTATAATATCAATACAAATCATAGGACACCGGGCATTTATTTCATTCATAAGCTGTATGAGATAATAATTAGCAGTGCGCTTGATTACAATACTTCTGTGAAGCAAAAGAACTGAAGTATAATCATGCAATTTTTGTAACATACCTGCAGAGGAGTACCAGTAAGACACCACCTACAATGTGCTGACAAAGTAAAAGCAGCCTGTGCACCAAGAGTCTTCCAGGATTTTATGGTGTGTGCCTCATCCAGAACCACCCGGTACCAATCAACATTATGAAATATGCTTTTCATAGTATTCTGAGTAACAACAAAGCTGTTATCAAAACAACAGTAATAGCAACACAGATGATGTTAAACTAAATGGCATGCATTACTACTTACAGCCTTATAAGTTGCACTCAAGACACCATAAGTTGTCAGGACTACATCTTGTTCTGCTATCACTCTAGGATCATTACTTCTGTCCCCACCATAATGAACAAAAACTGAAACACTACCAGGCTTTGAATGTGCTTCAAGTTCATCCTAGCATTCAAAAATAAACAGGGATTTAGAGTAATTGGAGCTGTAGCAGTAAATACAAGATCTGATAACAAAGTACCTATGTGTTAACAGAGATCTAATATAAAAGCATGGGAAAAACAAATTCTGGACATTTCATTGCACGTTTTATGACTTACCTTCCACTGGCCTAGTAATGCCATAGGACAGACAATGAGAGTGCCACCTTTTGCTTTTTTTGAGACTTCGGTATCAGTATAAGTGATTCTTTTTGTTACACATTCAGTTTCATCTGTGTCTTCCAAGACAATTTCCTGATCATCAGGGCTACCCCTCCCCAGATTCGCAAGTATTAGAGAAATTGTCATCACCGTCTTTCCAAGCCCCATTGCATCTGCCAATATCTGCAAAGATCAAACTGATTCAGATAAACAAAGAATACTGAAAAAAATAACTTGCAGTAAGAGAAACACATGAAGCAACAAATTAACTAACAGAAGAACCAGATCATGTCAATAAAAGACAATTAAGAGAAGGGTTAGTGAGAAGGAAATCCCACCCCTCCGCGTGCTGCGTTTGATGCAGTTGGGAATTCAGTAGTTGCTTCCCCAGAGAAAATGTTGACATATATTTTCCTCCTGTTGGAGAAGTTTGGTTAGTCATTTATGTTTAAAAACTAACAATAACAAAAATATCTTCTTTAAGCATAGATCATCCGTGACTCTTTTTTCCTTATTTGCAATGTCTAATTCAGTGAGGGAAGTGCCTACTCTTCACATATCCGATATGCTGCCCAACATGGATGAAGAGTTTTTGATGCTTCCTCTACACCAGCTCCTTTCTCTGATTCTGACATCCAGTAAAGAGCCTCCTTCTGGTAAGGCCTTAGGCTGCACATAAGTGTGTCGGGAGCCTCCATCTCCTATACAATGTATAGGATATAGACCAGTGAGTAGCAAGATTAATACACAATCAGCATCGTCTCATTTCAGTTTACTAAAATGAAGCATGTTTGTGCATTATACCTTCAAGTCATACATGTCTACAGAACCAACAAGTTTGTTAATAGATGCTTCAGAGATTTCTTGCTCATCCTTGTTTGGCTCTGAATACTGTTGGCAGCCCTTTCTTCGTTTTGCAATTGATAACACTGAAGCAGCCTCATTTGAATCAGACTGTAAGCAATAAGCAGAACATCAGTGACAATCTACTGTCTTTTCTCTTTTACTGCTGTTTTATCAAGTATAAAAAGGTTTTGAGCAAAGGGTAAATGGGCATACCAATCAAGGTGCAAAATTAATGGGAGCAATAATGAAAGTAAGGTTTGTTTGTGCAGTTTTTGCAAAACTATTGAAGTCATATAGGTGGTTGCTTCATTGTAAGAAAAGTTGAAAACGAAATTAAAGTTGAGAAGTGTTGAGGTGCTGTTTTTCATCCAAATTCTTCCATGCACAAAACACTCACAAATCTTCAAGATTAAACTATAAACATCTGAAAGACATCTTTAGGTTCCAAAAACATTTTTTAAGAAAAATGAGAGTGTTTTCAAAATATTATCCAACCAGCTTAACTGTGACTACCTTTTGGAACAATATAATTGACATGCAGTTTATACTGATCAAAATAATAATAACCATACAGGTTATTATTCATGCTTTTAAATATTGAGAACTTGGCAACTTGAATTAAGAAACAAGTGCTAGACAATACAAATTAGAATCAACATACATCTAAATTGAGCTGGCGTTTACGAGAATCGAGCTCATCCGGGTGAACTCTCACAGCTATGTTGTAGTATCAATTTGTGAGGGAGAATCCAGCCTCCATGATGACTTCTCACAGCTTGTAAACACCGAGTGGTGAATGTAGAAACTGTAAAAAAAAATATAAAAAAAATTAGCACAATGGGAACAAAAGGCATTAGCTTTGGATAGGATTGAATTTCAAGTTGATTCCATTAATGTCAAAAGTACAAAACAGCAAAGAACAGTATGTGTTTACCTTACATACAACATAAGCTCCTGCATTAGGGACAGATTTACAGGTGCAGCAACACATCGACCAAAAACCTTTACCTTTGAAGAATTTACAAGTGGAATGAGGCATTTTGCCCATTCCATTGGAAGACGCCCAATCTGTGCAGTCAGAAAAAATAGATAAGAGTATGATTTGTATTTGTATGATCTCAGCATAAAAGGATCACAATTTTCACAGGAATCAATACATGACAAAATGAGGATGAACCAATTCCCTACTACCTGTGGCAGATAGAGTATTTGTGGAACAAATTCTACCATGCACAATATTTTGCACACAGAATATCTATACATAATACATATGCAAAAAAACATAAGAAAATTCAACAAATGTTAAATCAACAACAACATACCCAATGAAATCCCAAAGTGGCATATGGGAGGGTGTAGTGCACACAAACTTAAGCTTACCTTGTGAAGGTAAAGAGGCTGCTTACAATAGACTCTCCACTCAAATAAAGAATATCAGCAAGCAAGTTTGTAAAGCAAATACAATACTGAAAAAAAACATGTTGAAAACAATGGAAACGAAACCAGTAGCAACGACTAATTATACAATAATTGAAGCTAGGATCCTAATGATTGAATGCAAGTTTACCTCCCCCAATGGTTTGGTCAAGAACCCAATAACGGATTACATCAATACAATCTCAACAAACTACAACAAGAATGACCAGACTTACTACTAAAACAAGGGTTGTTATGATCAAATTCATGTTCACCTCCCCCAATCATTTGGTCAAGAGCCTAACAACTGATTACATCAATAGCATCTCAACACCAAAAAGCAAGACTTTCACACAAATAAATTCACAATAAAGTATACTTGGGAGATTTAACCACAAAAAGAGGGAACTTTAGCAAACTACAACAAGAATAACAAGAGTTAATACTAAAACAAGGGTCACAATGATTGAATTCAACAAGAATAACAAGAGTTAATGCTATTTTGAAAGGCACTAAGCTTATCAATTTCCTGAAAGCATGTATGAGTTCCATAGTGAAGGGGTAGCATAACTGAGCCTGATTCTCCTCATCAACTATAGATATCTCTACAACATTTGTGTTATTATTTTCTCCTCTTAAACAATTATTCTGCAGAAAGGATGTGAATGCTACTTGCTGGCAACTATAACAGATTGTAGCATTGCACCGTTATATTCCGTACCTTAAAACTTATTCCCCTCAAACTAACAACTTCTAAATGGACAATTTTCAGGAATAAAAGAACATAGAGAAGTCAATAAACAAAAAGACTTCCATATCTGATCCATTTCAATTAAACAAATAAGCTTGCGTTGAGTTTTTATAAGATATCCGATGTAATTGTGTATGTTTAGCATGGAAAGACTTCACAGCAGTTCAGCTCAAGAACGGCATTATCCCATAAGACCAGAAATAGGCAAGGTTCAACTGCTAACTTCGAGAGTGTTATGTGTTTTTTTCTTTATTTTATGGCAAGGAGTAATATCACGACATAGAAAATAAAGTATGTTATAGTCACTTAGAATGAAAAAACAATTTAGTGGTAGCAATTTCAAACTAAAGTGATAACACAATCAGTAAGTGCACCAAAATTGGAATAGATAGCAGGTATATAAACATTCAGATCAGTATTACTATAAGCAATATAGCAGCAAACCTAGCGCTTCGAGTAGATCAATGCACAGAGAGAGACAAACAAACACACTCATTCAACCAAACAGTACTTAACTTTACTACCAAAGAAAAGAACAAGTACAAGCTAAAAGAATTAAACAACTAGCTGATCAAAATCAATATAATAAAATTCTTAAACTTCAGGCCAATTCCAGTCCACTAGTAATTCATCTAAATCCCACTTGGTCCAACTCCTAAGTTACTAGTTCAAACAAAGGAAAAACCCCTAACAGTCTCTAATCACACAATAACTACACAGTAAACCACGCATAGTGATAATGATCTCAATGCAACTCAAATAATACTACACAGAGTTGTATGAACATTGAAACTGCAAAAGAAAAAACAGAATCAGAGTGTTTGCAACTCGAATTAAATAATTAGCTAATCAAAAGCCGTGCAATGAAATTCTAAAACACTTTAAGTTCTGAATCTGATCCACTAGTTCATCCAAGTCTCACTAAATCCAATCAACCTCTTCAGATACTGATCTGAACCAATGAGAAAACCATAGCTTCCTTTAAGAACACAATAAAACGAAACATAACAATGAAGAACTCATGCAACTTTAAAATACTATACAAAGTTGTATAAACACTGAAACTTCATAAGGAAGCCACAGAAACAAAGTGTGAGCTACTAGAATTACATAACTAGCTGACCAAAAGCCACATGATAAAATTCTAAAACATAAGTTCCAAAACCAGTCTACTAGTTCATCGGTCCAAATCCCACCAGATCCAATCTAACTCCTCGGATACTGATTCAAATCAAGAAGAAGCCTTAGCTTCCTCTGAAGCACACAAAAAACTTACAACAAACCAAATCAGAGCAATAAAGAACTCAATGCAACTTTCCGAAAACAGTCTCTCTGCCTCCACGAGGTGGGTAAGGTCTGCTACACTCTACTTCCCCAAACCCCACTTGTGGGATTTCACCAGGTATGTTGTTGTTGATGAAAAAAAACTCAATGCAACTCAAATAATACTACTAAAAATGCACATTCAATTACATGGTACTTAACTTTACTATCAACATAAAGTAAAAGTATTAGCTAACAGAATTGAACTGGTCAAATGCCATATAATCAGTTTTTTGAACTTCAGCTCCAATTCTAGTCTACTAGTTCATCCAAATACCTCTAGATCCATTCCAACTCCGCAGATACTGATTTGAACAAAGCAGAAAACACAAGTTTCCATCAAAGCACACAATAAACCACACAGCAAACCATAACATCACTATAATGAACTCAATGCAACTTAACATTCTATACAGACAGAAACAGAGTAGAATTGAACAAATTAGCTTATCCAAAAGCAACATGATCAAATTCTAAAACTTCAGATCCAAATCCAGTCTACTAGTTCATCCAAATCCAACTAGATCCATATCTGGCTTTGTTTACAGAGCACAACAAACCATACAGCAAACCAAATCATGGCAATAGACAGCTCAATGCAACTCAAATAACAGTACATAAACTTGTACAAACAGTAAAAATCCATAAAAACACAGAAACAACGTTAAAACATACTAGAATTAAACAATTAGCTTATCAAAAGCCACGATGATCAAATTGTAACACTTCAGCTCCAAATCCAACTAGATCCAAACCTAACTTTGTTTAAATCACACAATAAACCATACAGAAAACCAAAGCATAGCTATGAAGAACTCAATGCAGCTCAAATAGTACTACACATACATTCAAACTGCATAAAAAACATACAAAATAGAGTAGATCTGAACAAGCTACTGATAAGTTTCTTACTCTTGATAAGCAGATAGAACGAAGACTGATACAAAGAGAAGCCTCCCAAAGAATGATAACAAACCCATTACTGTAAACTCAAAGCTTTCTCTCTCTAGAAAACAGCAAGATATTCAAAATAGAGACTGATGTCTTTGTTCTCTTTTACTAATGTTATGCAGGCTGAGTTGTAGTATCAATTTGTGAGGGAGAATCCAGCCTCCATGATGACTTCTCACAGCTTGTAAACACCGAGTGGTGAATGTAGAAACTGTAAAAAAAAATATAAAAAAAATTAGCACAATGGGAACAAAAGGCATTAGCTTTGGATAGGATTGAATTTCAAGTTGATTCCATTAATGTCAAAAGTACAAAACAGCAAAGAACAGTATGTGTTTACCTTACATACAACATAAGCTCCTGCATTAGGGACAGATTTACAGGTGCAGCAACACATCGACCAAAAACCTTTACCTTTGAAGAATTTACAAGTGGAATGAGGCATTTTGCCCATTCCATTGGAAGACGCCCAATCTGTGCAGTCAGAAAAAATAGATAAGAGTATGATTTGTATTTGTATGATCTCAGCATAAAAGGATCACAATTTTCACAGGAATCAATACATGACAAAATGAGGATGAACCAATTCCCTACTACCTGTGGCAGATAGAGTATTTGTGGAACAAATTCTACCATGCACAATATTTTGCACACAGAATATCTATACATAATACATATGCAAAAAAACATAAGAAAATTCAACAAATGTTAAATCAACAACAACATACCCAATGAAATCCCAAAGTGGCATATGGGAGGGTGTAGTGCACACAAACTTAAGCTTACCTTGTGAAGGTAAAGAGGCTGCTTACAATAGACTCTCCACTCAAATAAAGAATATCAGCAAGCAAGTTTGTAAAGCAAATACAATACTGAAAAAAAACATGTTGAAAACAATGGAAACGAAACCAGTAGCAACGACTAATTATACAATAATTGAAGCTAGGATCCTAATGATTGAATGCAAGTTTACCTCCCCCAATGGTTTGGTCAAGAACCCAATAACGGATTACATCAATACAATCTCAACAAACTACAACAAGAATGACCAGACTTACTACTAAAACAAGGGTTGTTATGATCAAATTCATGTTCACCTCCCCCAATCATTTGGTCAAGAGCCTAACAACTGATTACATCAATAGCATCTCAACACCAAAAAGCAAGACTTTCACACAAATAAATTCACAATAAAGTATACTTGGGAGATTTAACCACAAAAAGAGGGAACTTTAGCAAACTACAACAAGAATAACAAGAGTTAATACTAAAACAAGGGTCACAATGATTGAATTCAACAAGAATAACAAGAGTTAATGCTATTTTGAAAGGCACTAAGCTTATCAATTTCCTGAAAGCATGTATGAGTTCCATAGTGAAGGGGTAGCATAACTGAGCCTGATTCTCCTCATCAACTATAGATATCTCTACAACATTTGTGTTATTATTTTCTCCTCTTAAACAATTATTCTGCAGAAAGGATGTGAATGCTACTTGCTGGCAACTATAACAGATTGTAGCATTGCACCGTTATATTCCGTACCTTAAAACTTATTCCCCTCAAACTAACAACTTCTAAATGGACAATTTTCAGGAATAAAAGAACATAGAGAAGTCAATAAACAAAAAGACTTCCATATCTGATCCATTTCAATTAAACAAATAAGCTTGCGTTGAGTTTTTATAAGATATCCGATGTAATTGTGTATGTTTAGCATGGAAAGACTTCACAGCAGTTCAGCTCAAGAACGGCATTATCCCATAAGACCAGAAATAGGCAAGGTTCAACTGCTAACTTCGAGAGTGTTATGTGTTTTTTTCTTTATTTTATGGCAAGGAGTAATATCACGACATAGAAAATAAAGTATGTTATAGTCACTTAGAATGAAAAAACAATTTAGTGGTAGCAATTTCAAACTAAAGTGATAACACAATCAGTAAGTGCACCAAAATTGGAATAGATAGCAGGTATATAAACATTCAGATCAGTATTACTATAAGCAATATAGCAGCAAACCTAGCGCTTCGAGTAGATCAATGCACAGAGAGAGACAAACAAACACACTCATTCAACCAAACAGTACTTAACTTTACTACCAAAGAAAAGAACAAGTACAAGCTAAAAGAATTAAACAACTAGCTGATCAAAATCAATATAATAAAATTCTTAAACTTCAGGCCAATTCCAGTCCACTAGTAATTCATCTAAATCCCACTTGGTCCAACTCCTAAGTTACTAGTTCAAACAAAGGAAAAACCCCTAACAGTCTCTAATCACACAATAACTACACAGTAAACCACGCATAGTGATAATGATCTCAATGCAACTCAAATAATACTACACAGAGTTGTATGAACATTGAAACTGCAAAAGAAAAAACAGAATCAGAGTGTTTGCAACTCGAATTAAATAATTAGCTAATCAAAAGCCGTGCAATGAAATTCTAAAACACTTTAAGTTCTGAATCTGATCCACTAGTTCATCCAAGTCTCACTAAATCCAATCAACCTCTTCAGATACTGATCTGAACCAATGAGAAAACCATAGCTTCCTTTAAGAACACAATAAAACGAAACATAACAATGAAGAACTCATGCAACTTTAAAATACTATACAAAGTTGTATAAACACTGAAACTTCATAAGGAAGCCACAGAAACAAAGTGTGAGCTACTAGAATTACATAACTAGCTGACCAAAAGCCACATGATAAAATTCTAAAACATAAGTTCCAAAACCAGTCTACTAGTTCATCGGTCCAAATCCCACCAGATCCAATCTAACTCCTCGGATACTGATTCAAATCAAGAAGAAGCCTTAGCTTCCTCTGAAGCACACAAAAAACTTACAACAAACCAAATCAGAGCAATAAAGAACTCAATGCAACTTTCCGAAAACAGTCTCTCTGCCTCCACGAGGTGGGGTAAGGTCTGCTACACTCTACTTCCCCAAACCCCACTTGTGGGATTTCACCAGGTATGTTGTTGTTGATGAAAAAAAACTCAATGCAACTCAAATAATACTACTAAAAATGCACATTCAATTACATGGTACTTAACTTTACTATCAACATAAAGTAAAAGTATTAGCTAACAGAATTGAACTGGTCAAATGCCATATAATCAGTTTTTTGAACTTCAGCTCCAATTCTAGTCTACTAGTTCATCCAAATACCTCTAGATCCATTCCAACTCCGCAGATACTGATTTGAACAAAGCAGAAAACACAAGTTTCCATCAAAGCACACAATAAACCACACAGCAAACCATAACATCACTATAATGAACTCAATGCAACTTAACATTCTATACAGACAGAAACAGAGTAGAATTGAACAAATTAGCTTATCCAAAAGCAACATGATCAAATTCTAAAACTTCAGATCCAAATCCAGTCTACTAGTTCATCCAAATCCAACTAGATCCATATCTGGCTTTGTTTACAGAGCACAACAAACCATACAGCAAACCAAATCATGGCAATAGACAGCTCAATGCAACTCAAATAACAGTACATAAACTTGTACAAACAGTAAAAATCCATAAAAACACAGAAACAACGTTAAAACATACTAGAATTAAACAATTAGCTTATCAAAAGCCACGATGATCAAATTGTAACACTTCAGCTCCAAATCCAACTAGATCCAAACCTAACTTTGTTTAAATCACACAATAAACCATACAGAAAACCAAAGCATAGCTATGAAGAACTCAATGCAGCTCAAATAGTACTACACATACATTCAAACTGCATAAAAAACATACAAAATAGAGTAGATCTGAACAAGCTACTGATAAGTTTCTTACTCTTGATAAGCAGATAGAACGAAGACTGATACAAAGAGAAGCCTCCCAAAGAATGATAACAAACCCATTACTGTAAACTCAAAGCTTTCTCTCTCTAGAAAACAGCAAGATATTCAAAATAGAGACTGATGTCTTTGTTCTCTTTTACTAATGTTATGCAGGCTGAGTTGTAGTATCAATTTGTGAGGGAGAATCCAGCCTCCATGATGACTTCTCACAGCTTGTAAACACCGAGTGGTGAATGTAGAAACTGTAAAAAAAAATATAAAAAAAATTAGCACAATGGGAACAAAAGGCATTAGCTTTGGATAGGATTGAATTTCAAGTTGATTCCATTAATGTCAAAAGTACAAAACAGCAAAGAACAGTATGTGTTTACCTTACATACAACATAAGCTCCTGCATTAGGGACAGATTTACAGGTGCAGCAACACATCGACCAAAAACCTTTACCTTTGAAGAATTTACAAGTGGAATGAGGCATTTTGCCCATTCCATTGGAAGACGCCCAATCTGTGCAGTCAGAAAAAATAGATAAGAGTATGATTTGTATTTGTATGATCTCAGCATAAAAGGATCACAATTTTCACAGGAATCAATACATGACAAAATGAGGATGAACCAATTCCCTACTACCTGTGGCAGATAGAGTATTTGTGGAACAAATTCTACCATGCACAATATTTTGCACACAGAATATCTATACATAATACATATGCAAAAAAACATAAGAAAATTCAACAAATGTTAAATCAACAACAACATACCCAATGAAATCCCAAAGTGGCATATGGGAGGGTGTAGTGCACACAAACTTAAGCTTACCTTGTGAAGGTAAAGAGGCTGCTTACAATAGACTCTCCACTCAAATAAAGAATATCAGCAAGCAAGTTTGTAAAGCAAATACAATACTGAAAAAAAACATGTTGAAAACAATGGAAACGAAACCAGTAGCAACGACTAATTATACAATAATTGAAGCTAGGATCCTAATGATTGAATGCAAGTTTACCTCCCCCAATGGTTTGGTCAAGAACCCAATAACGGATTACATCAATACAATCTCAACAAACTACAACAAGAATGACCAGACTTACTACTAAAACAAGGGTTGTTATGATCAAATTCATGTTCACCTCCCCCAATCATTTGGTCAAGAGCCTAACAACTGATTACATCAATAGCATCTCAACACCAAAAAGCAAGACTTTCACACAAATAAATTCACAATAAAGTATACTTGGGAGATTTAACCACAAAAAGAGGGAACTTTAGCAAACTACAACAAGAATAACAAGAGTTAATACTAAAACAAGGGTCACAATGATTGAATTCAACTTTACCTCCCCCGATCGTTTAGTCGAGAACCTAACAATGGATGATGCAGCAGCAATAGCAGCTCTTGACCCACCCCAGTGTGAACTCTGATTGCTACTCCCAAGCTGAGGAAATGAAAAATGAACAATCTCATTATTCTCCAGTTTTCTTCCCTTTGTAGTTGAAAGTCCAGTAACAACAGTTCTCCCAACTAACAACCAATCAGAATCTTCAGGGAAATCCCCATCCTCAATCACAACAGTACTAAGACTATTTTTCTCAATTCCAATCTTTTCTTTAATTCCCCCAATAGCCCTATTACTAGTACTACTATTCAGTCTGTTGTATTCGTGTTTTGACAAAGGCCTTGATGACAATGGTTCAACACCAAGTACAGGTTCTTCTTTGAACTTAACCATTTCAAGTTTCTTTTCTTCTTTCGGTTTCTGAATATCGATTTGCGGGTTGTTTTCAGGCAACTTAAGCCATTCATTGAATTCTTTTCTAAAATCCCGCACATTGAAAACCTTCTTTTCTTCCTCTTTTTGCCCTTTTTCCTCAACACCCACGTCGTATTCTTCTTTAACTTTTAGCCCCTTACCAACCGACCCTTTTGCTCCACACCCATCAAAAACCTTTCTTTCCCCTTTTTCATTGACACCCAAATCGGTCTCTTCCTTAACTTTTAACCCACTTACAGTATTACAACCCAATGATTCTTCTCCATTCTCTTGTTTTATCGGAGCAGAAATCCTTACCCCTGTGCCCGTAACAGTCTTGTGAACTATCAACGGCGTCGAAGAATCTAGCAAATGGTTAATAGCTGCTTCTGGATTGTTGTTTTTCTGTGAAAGGGCTTCGAGAATTTCATTTTCTGGAATTTCAGAACCTATTATTGAACGGATCATCTTGATATTCTTCTCATTCTCTTCAACATTTGCTTCCATTTCCATTAATTTGCAGGAAAAAAGATTGAGAGAATGAATCGGCCGAATATTGAAGATGAATTTTTTTCTAAAGGGTTTTTTTTTCCTTTTTGTAGGAAATGAAATTTTTGGCGCTAATTGTTTTTACCTTCAGTTAAATATTCGAGGGTCTTCTTGTGAAGAACTTTTGGCGCGCGAAAGAAGAAGGTAAAAAAGTTACTAAGCTTTTTGATTGTGCAACGATGTCGTTTTTGTTGGCAACTGTTGAGAAAGTGCGAAACAAAGTGTTCTATGTAGTGGCGGAGATTTTTACTAAAGGGTTTAAAATATGGAGAAAAATTATACGCACGAAAAGACTCAAAAATGTCCTTAACCTATTAGAAATAGTTTAAAAATGTCTTTCTTTCATCTATTGATTTAAAAATGTCCTTGACGTTTTTTCTAGGTTCAAAAATGTCCATTAATTAATAGAAATATGACATGAAATTTAACTTAACATGTGGTCATTATTGGTCCACATAAAAAAAAATTACCCAATTAAAAGATCCGACCCAACCCAATACCCAGACCCATTTCATTGATGATTGAAGCCTTTTCTCTGTTCTTTCTTCCTCTGTTTTTTTCTTTATAAATGGTAAATGTTTAATAGCTTTCAATAAAAAAATAACAGCCAAACTGCAGCATTTTAACTCGGCAAAATCGATAAAATGCAAATCTTAAGGCTCAAAATAATGCAACAAATTGTTGGGTATAGCAAGGTGTGAATGGGAAATAAAAAGAGAAAATGGAAAGTGGAAGAACCAATGAAAGAGAGAACCAATTTTGGATGGAAAATGAAAAGTCATTGCAAAAGTGCAAATGAAAGGTCATTTTTACCATATTGGTAGAAGAAAGGAAATTGTTGTCCTTATATTAGGAAACACTTCCTTTAGTTCTTAAAGGGTTAAGAAGAAGGTGCCCCCTCGCGCCATCGTCGTCGCTCGGCCTCGGATTTGGATGTGATTGAGTGATAATATTTTTGGACAAAATTTATTTAATTCAGAATGTTATAAATTAATTTCCTTTCTCTTATAAATTAATTCAGAATGTTAATTAAATAACATAATTAATTTGGCGCAACTGAATTTATTTGAAATTCACGTGTAACGGTAATCCTTCCAAAAAGTCGTTACTTTTCCCAAACGGTAATCCTTCCGAAAAGTCGTTACTTTTCTCAAAGGACACAATGTTCTGGAAAAAACGGGTCTAAACAGATTTTTTTGAACAGACGTGTTCCTTGCTGCAAATGGCTATAAATAAGTGGTCTTTTTCGTTTTTTTCAGACACTGAAAATTTTCCTCTCTGCATACATTTTCTTACATAAATAAAATTGTTGATCGACTGAGTCTGTATGTGCTCTTGTTGTTGTTCTTGAGTTCGCTGAAGTTATTGAAGTTTGAGGTACCGCTACTTCTTTAACAGGTTAATCCGTTTTATCTTGGGAGGAATTAATCTGCAACCTCGGGTATAGTGAGGGGATTAAATTTCTTAAGGAAACACAGTGATTTCTGTGGATTCGGATTAAAAATCATTCTGTCAATTTCATCTTTTTTCTGTTTCTATATTATTTTTTTACTAACTTGAATACAGGAGATAACACAAACAAACAAGTAAAATGAATGCTTGCAATTCAAAAAACAACAGCTAATTAAAATGCAGAATTTAAATCCAAAAAATCACTGCATTTCAAAACCAAACTAACTTTAGAACTGTACTAAAAAAAAATATACATTTGGTAGAAGAACAAGCAGAACTAGCTGCCCTTTGTACTTCATACACGATTCGACGACTTAAATTCAACAATGAATTGTGGTCAGAGGTGGAACTAGGATTTGGAGGTCGTGAGTGGCACATCGTTCAAGTAAGATAAAAGAATTGATTGCTTTAATTTTGGGTTACGATTCGGGTTATTAATTTTATTTTATTTTATAAACAAATCGATCAAATATATATTTTAGTAATATTTCTTTTTAGATAATTCGAGATTAGAGATAACTAAACAAATCAATTTTTATTTACTTTTTGGAATTAGATGACTAATCCGCTTAAACTTTGAGAAAAAAAAAGATGTTTCACATTAAAATTTGAGCTTGTATAAACTATCTAATAGTATGAACTCAATATATTCACATTCCATTGATTTTATGTGTTGTTGGAGATATATAGTAGGGAAAAAATAAAAATTATAGTTTCAACCTAGTCATCTTGCTTAGCAAGAACGTCAGTGAAGATTGAAAGAACATTTAAATTTAAAAATAAATCTAATAATAATATTCATCATTTTTAAAACTTATATTTTTTAAAAACTACCATTTAAACATATTCTTAATAATATTTATTTGACGTTTATAATTCAATAGTCAATAATTGATAAAGAATAAACACCTAACACTCATATCAATAGATTAATAATTGATGAAAGAGAAAGTAAAAAAAAAATTAACAATTAATTGTGAAAATGAGTCAATTTGAATTAATAAAGAATAGTAAATAAATAAGAATGAATGGAGAAAAAAAATTAAAGCCCTTTACACATTAATGAAAAAGACAAAAAAGAAAAGAAAAGAAGGAGCAAACAAAAAAACCTTTACACATTAATGAAACAAAAAAAGAAAAGAAAAGAAGGAGCAAACAAAAGAAATAGGTGTTTTCAGCAAGGACCGAACCCACGTTGGCTGGGTGACAGGCGGCCTCTTTAACCAATTGAATTGTTCAGCATTTTAGTTACTGGGTGGCAAAGTTAATATATATTTAACTATTATATATATACATATATATACAACATTTTTTCCGAGATCACTGAGTGTCGTGGCACCCCCACATGTCCACGTAGATCCGCCCCTGATTGTGGTCCAACCTTAACTCGAAAATGACGAATCCCCACTCATCGACCCGTGGGAGAGTACGAGTGAGGATGTGCTTACAAGAGACAAACTCATATCTTTATGTATAGTACCTGAACTAAATTTTGAAGTTCTTCGATTGAAAGGCATTCATATTTCCTGTAAAAAGAGATTTTTGAAGACTCACAAGATTCATTTAGAAGATCAATGTTGGGTTTGGGTATTTGATTCGATTCTTTTAATTGGGTAAATAATGTTGTGGACCAATATAAAGTTGTCATTTGTTTAGTTAAATTCCATGTCATATTTCTATTAATTAATGGACATTTTTGAACTTTTTTTTTTAATCTAACTTGGACCAAGGTCCATTTATTAATTGATAAAAAAGAAAGATCCAACTTGTGCTACAGACAAGCCCAAGAGAATGAACAAAAACGGAAAGAGTAAAGAAACAGACATAGACAACTAAAAAGAAAAATTCTAAACACATGAAAATAGTTGGAGAAAGCTCACGCCTCCCTTCATCCTACAAATCAATTATGTGAATCTCCGGCTAACTTTACCCCGATTATCGGCGTCGAAGCATGGATTCAAGAGCTTGGGCGAGAATCACTTTTGCAGTAACAAGTCTCACTACTGCCATGAATTTGACTCCATTGAAGACTTCTTCTGCTCCAGTTTGACTTCAATCCCAACAATTCCAGGTATGCCCCTTCCTTTATGACCAAAGAGATTCCATTTGAGTGTTATGTTAACCTTTTCCCTGACTCGTGCAGGCTGAGCTCCGTAGAACTGATACCACTGCCTCAAATTATGGATTAGATCAATACAATACTCTAGGATTTAAGATCGAAGTACCCCTAAAAAACATGTCTTGTTATATTTGTGCAGTGAATCCATACGTTGCGCATTCGATCTGGCAGTCCTTAATAAATTATTTTGTCCACTTGTATTCATCTCGATTGTTTAAAATATTTGTTTTGCCCCTTCTTGAATCTGATATTTGGTGTTCCTTTCTTGTCCAAATGTAGTATAGATTTTGCCTGTGCTGGTAGATCCTCGATGTAATTAAACTGGATAGACTCTGCACCTACAAAATTAACAACTAAATTAGCTAAGAAATCTGCCAGCAAGTTCCATTCTCTGAAAGTATGAACCACAGCTACTTCTTTATTGACCATAATTTTTTTGATCTCTTTAATGTCTACTGATATGATCCATGGAACTTCCCAATTCCCATCCAAGATCTTCTTAATAATTAAGGAATCTGTCTCCATTATCAAAGGTAAAAGATTATGGCTTAAGCAATACAATAAGCCATCTTTAAAACCTTTAACTTCAGCCTCTAACGATGAACAAAACTACAACTTGCTAGCTCTAGCATATATCAAATATCTTTGACCATCTCTTATACAAAATGCCTTGGAACACAGGCCATAATTGACTTTACAGGAACCATTAGAGTGCATTTGTATCTTCCTCCCTCAGGACACTTCCACCTTATCACTATGGTGCTTATTAGAGGTGTATAACTTTCCATAAATTCTACAATATATGGCCAGGTGTTAGGTATTTCTGCCAACCAAGGGTACATTGCTCTTGCCATGAAATATACATTTATATTGATCTCCAACACCATAGCATTCCTGGTCATATTTCCCCCATGAGCTATCATGTTTCTCCTTTTCCACAATTACCAAATGATAAAAGATGGCATGACTCTACACAAAGGTTTTAATTTAGCTGCACAGTCCTCTGTCCACCATTTGTAGATAGTTTGTCTCATCTGATTGAATGGTCATTGCATGCCCATAGTTGCTTCAAACAAATTCCATAAATACTTAGCATCCGGACATGATATAAATAGGTGATTAAATAATTCATGTTCATGATTGTTACAAATCTGCTATCCTGCACCTAACTAGGACTTCCCCTATTGGAATCCTCTTAAACCAAATTCTCCGCATCAGAAAAGATATCTTGAAAGGTAAGCCCTTATCCCGTATAAACAATATATCTTTTTGAGGATCTTTCCTACTTCTGATAATATCCCATGCACTCTTAACAGAAAAATTTCCTCTACTATTTGGCATCCACCATTGCTTGTCCCTCTCTTCTACATGCTGAGTATGACCCAAG